CTGCACCAGGCTTCGGCCTTGTCTTTCCATTCACCAAAGATCCTAGGATCTCAGCTGATGTCTCTCTTAGCTCTTTTTCACATTCCACTGGGAAGACACTCCCAGTCACCATCGAGTCAGAACATCTTTGGAGTTCATCACTCTTCAAACCCGGAAGAAGGTGATCGCGACTCCTACACCACCGAACCTCCAAACCATCAAGACTTTTATCCGAGACTGCATCCGTACGCTTGTTCCAAGCCAAGGCAATGCAAGTATCGTACATTTAACTAAACGGTTTAGTATAAGCTGTAGACCCCGTTCTAAAACGGCGCTGATGGTTTCACTCAGGTGGTTAAATGACTCTTTTCATAGCTTCATTCTCTGTTTTTTTCCTGATGACTTCATCCATCAAGCCTCATTTGCCCTTTCCCATGTATGAGTGATTGTTTGTTTGTTTGTTAGACTAGTTTGTGTTAGTGTTTAGTTAATAAAACTCTTGTGCACAAATTACATGAGTTTCTGATTCTGCCTTGCAAATTAATGTCCCTTTTCGATTTTGATCCTTACTACATGCTCTAATGCATTCTGAATATTCACAGATTGGTTGATGGCAATTTAATTCTGCTATAGTTACTACTGGCAGCTGATATAAATAATATAAATAATTCATAATTAACTGTAATTATTTATATACATTTCCCTTTTGAGCTAATTTGCTACAAAATAAAAATAATAATTAGCAGACGAATCACTTAAGTGTTACATAATAGATATAAATAATAAACAACATAAAGTATCTTCTACTTATACAAGTCAAAGTGATCGATCGCTATATTTAACTTCAAAGGATTGTTGACGGCATATAATACAGCGTGTAATTCACGTGCGGTAAATGGGTCGCATTAATATAAATAAATAAACTTAGAAACAGTATCTGCAACAAATATACTTGCAATATAACATTAATATTCAAATAACACTGGACTTACTTGTCCGTTACTCATACAATGTCCTTATAATGCGAGCAATCCAGAGAACTTTCCAGTCAGAACAGCTGATGCAACTCTATAGCGCTACGCTTATTCTCAGTCTATTAAATCAGCATAGGCTCCGCAACTGCGCAGGTTGTGCACTATTCCTTTACGGGCAGCGCTGATTCTGTGCGCATCTTCGTCATTACGCTAAGCATGGAGAATTCGGAACAATGGTGTTCCCTTTCGATACTTCACTCGTACTGTGTCTTGCTTAAGACGCATATGGGAAAAAAGCCTTTTTTTCTCCTGAACTGAAGCCTTTTCATTCACGCAGTGAAACTGCACGGCCATTGGTTCGTGCAG